AAATTATCTAGTAAATATATAGTAAATAAGTTATAATTTGTACCAGAAATTACTAGTTATTATTTAGTTAATAATTGGTTTTTTTACCAGTGATGATCGAATGCTTTATGATCATCTCTTTCAACTCCAATACCGTAGAAATAGCAGTCACCAAGATCAAACATTTCATCAGCATTGAAGTTAGGGTATAAAATATAGTAAAGACTATTCGCTAACATTTTTTTTTTTTGATATAAAAAAAAACAGAAATGAGAGTCATTCAACATGTTACAACTATTACTTAAATTCTAATGTACTGCCGGTTTTATCGGGTATATTAATTCGCGTGCTTTACGCGTTCTTACATGACTCAATGAACTATATATATACAGTATAAAAAAATGGCATTATTTTAAAAGATATTTAATGCACATATTTATAAACCGGTTTTAGTAAATTCTAATTTTTTTAAACAGTTTTGTAAATAAAACTGGTATTTAATTTGTGTATTTAAAGTCTTACTGTAACGGTAACAATATAGTGCTTATCTTGCCTTAAATGTTTATTTATACTGTACTTATATATTTTATTTTAATAGCATTAGTATTCTACTTTAACAAATATATTTTACGATATGATATTGGAATATATACAGTATAAAAAAAACTATAGTTAGATACAAGTTTACCAAACGATAGATTCAATATTTGGTATTTGATTTTATGATTAAAAATATATTAACGTTAACATTTAGCACGGATTTATAGTATTATATTACCAAAGCATCGATAGATTATTTATATAAATAGATCAAAAACGGTGTATTATTTTAAAAATCAAAAAAAAAGAAAAAAAAAAAAATTTAAATAGTTATAACAAAAATGCCTTGTAAATATTTGTGTTTTATAAATCGCTCTATCTCAGTCAATATTTTTGACAAATTATTAACTTAAGATTCAATCTAGCTCAACAAGACGAAGTTTTTGAATGGGGTGACGAACCAATAAACCCACATATACCATGGAACCAAGAGATCCAAGCTTGTGTCAATAATTTTTGTGATCTGTGTTCCGCAGGTTATTGTTCAAAGAATAGTCACGTCGCATGGGGTTGGGTTAGGAATTGGGATTGGAATATGGTTCAGTATGAGACTTATAAGTGGTGTTCATATTGTAGCAAAAATACACATGATACGCAAAGCTGTAGGTTTAAGCTAGAGGTAGATCGACAAATTAATTCTTTAAAATGTGAACAATGTTCTAGTAGATTTAAACGTATTAATCATTATAAGGGAGATAGATGTCCTTATGAATGGAATTATAATTGGTGGAAGTCATAATGTAAGCCATCTAATTTGCTTTCTAATAATTCTGTATACTTTTTTTATACTGTATATAATAGATGCTATGTTTTCATACCGACGGAATTCAGTGTGGCTTTTTAAGTAAATATCGATATTACGCGTTAAAATATAGTTCTTTTAAATTTTCTTTTTTGTTATAAAATTGGCTGTATTTTTTGAACATTTTAATTAAAATTTTCTCGCAAAAAAGTCTATTAAATGAATTTACTTCAAGTAATGCTTAGTCAAATATGTAATGAATATCTGAATTGTCTTATCTTCGAGATTTTATATGTCACTGATAGTACAGTATAAAATTTTATATTATGAAGTCACTTAAATATATTTAATACTAATAACATATGTGATAGTACTTCCCAGGATACTCTTTAAATTTGAAATATGTTTCCAAATATCATTTTTCTTATCCTTTTTTTGACATGCAGAGAAAGATGTAGCAAGTTTATTATTCGTATGTAAAGAGTTTATTGCCGATACAGTAGCTTTTACCAAATAAAAAATAAACCATTAGATAAAGTTTAAACACAATCTAATTTAATTAAGAATAATTTTAAGTTAGAATAAGTGATTTATTTATTAAATAGAATTTATTGGCTAATGCATGTCACGTGAAAGTTCATTGTTTAAACTTGTCCCTTGTTAAAATTTGACTTTAACGTTAATTATACATTGAATTTTCTTTAAACAATACATACTATAATAAAGTGAGTAAATTATTTCATTTTATTCGCGTGAATATTATTAACTAAGTAGAAATTTTCAGTATCTATAACCTATAAATGAATCCAATTACGATATTTGTATTTCTTAATTTTTAAAAGCTCAATTTATTAAAACTAATTTATGAAACGTGTAAATTGGTTTCATTAACTACATTTATAATCCTGTTTGATAAACTTTTTGAAGTGTTTCCCTTTTTAAATTAGAAAATATTGATTCTAATTTATTGCAATCTTCATTTGATGGCGGTGGTCCATTACCTTCCAAATATTCACAATATGCACCCAGTTGTTGATTTTCAGCAAACTTCACCTCCAACATTAATTTGGCTTTAGATAGAGTGAACAATTAATGTATAGTCCCTTAAAGCAATGCAACTAAAACAGTATAATAAAAATAGTACCTTCTTGATTTAATTTATTCAAACGAGCAATCTCATTTTCCAAATGAATAATTTCCGCAGCTAAATAATATTCGTGATTAGTACTCTCTTTTTCCAAACTGGCAATTTCCATGATTAAATCAGTACTTTCTTCTTTCAAACAGGTAATTCGAACTTTCAAATTGCGAATTTGATTTTTCAACTTTTGCTTATTTATCAGCAAATTATATAAACGTAATCTTACGTAAGATATTACGGCCCGTAATATTGCGCAAGAATTATGGTCTGAACATAATATTGCGCAATTTATTACGTAATATTACGCAATTTATTACAGAGTATTACGCAATTTATTATGGAGTATTA